CAGGGACACGTGAACGGTCGTTCATTTAGAGTTTGTATACTCTAGAGGAAGCCTACTTCCTCAGCGCAAGGTGCTGTGTGACCCCGTCACAAATAAAATGTGCCTTTGCTTGGCAATAATAAATATTTCGTTTTTGTGTACAGCAATAATAAATACTGCAGCAACTTATTTAAAATATCTGTGATCATTTTCTCTCCCTCCACAAAGAGGAAGGTTTTGGTAAAGAGATGAAGGTTTGATATGATTGATAAAAAGAAAGCGCTGAGGGTTTGATGTCATTGGCCGCAACGGAAGCTCAACATTTTCATGGTCATGTGGGGCCGGGGCAAGGAATTCGTGATGCTAACTACTGCCACAGTTAAGTGGGCGTTGCCTAACTATATGCAGTCACTACAGCTGCCAGACACTCCTAACAACTGGTAAGAAGAGGAAGCTAAGTATATATGTTCAAACTACATGTTCGTCAAGGGAAGGACTCTAGCTCTAGCCGTAAGTGCCATTCAAGTAACAACCAATACGAAGGCACCAAGAGCTTTTCTGTGGCCGCTCAGTTACGCCCACAGTTAAAACGGGAAGGTTTGATTTGATTGGCTGCTCAAACATTCAAATATTCCAACCGTGATAACCCCTAGTTTATTGAATTGCAATATTTTAACCGACCCCTGCTCGAGCTCTCGCCTAAGAATCTCTCGGTGCATATTTGCATGCTAGCCCGGTTCACCAAAACCGTGTTAGCTGACCAGTGGCACAATCGGGCATGCCGCCAATGGTCATTCCTGATCACTATGATACAACTTGGAAGGCGACGAGAACGATTAAAACCAAGAATAAGCTTAACAAAATTTCGCTGAAACTCCCTCGATCATCTTCATTAGCTCTCAGGAATGATAGCATCCCAACTAGACAAGTTTGCAAAAGTAACCCAATAGAAGAGTTGCAGTTGTTGCTTCCGCTACTTGACGAGATCCACGTTTGAAAAATCAACGACTACAACGTTCCTCTTTCTATGAGGTGGTCACACCGTGGAGTGAAAACACGGTCTACCAGTTACAAAACGTGGAAGCGCGGTATCGAAAATTCAGAGCTTCTCCGCGCGCGTGCGACCTTGTTCTGAGATTCTTTAGCAATAGCAATCGTCGAATGCAAATAGAAAAACACACGTGGGAAAATGCAGTATCCAGGACGGATAACCAGTACCTTTATTGAGGCGGAAGAGGTGAGCGCTGCCCGTCCTCATATAGACGAAGTGTTCGACGACTCGACGTTCGCATTTGGATAGGCCTCCAGCCACTCTAAGCGACATTCCTGTGGCTGCTTGGCGATTTTGGAGACGCACGGGTCACTTTCAGCGGCACGACACGGATAAAGTCTGCACGATAACATAATAGAGATACCAACTGTTTTGAACCTGATGGAATCGACAAACTGGATTTACTAGTCACGATTCGCCCAGCTCCTTCCCTTTCCTCTTCTCTCTATCTCGCGTAGCTCGATCTTCATAGTGGATTTTGCCCTTACGTTTATGCTTCGCACTTTGACTACCAGGTCTACGAGATATCCCATGAATTATCTACCCCGCCAAACCCGCGCGATATTTGCGGACGCGGGTCCAGCGACGAGCTCACCAGCGACGGCCCATTGCACTGACGCGAACGTGTTTTTCTATTGCGGGGCCTGGGGTGCATGCCCCATAAAGTGTAGAGTTGATCCATTTTTGTGCTGACCCAAATATGGTCATAAAATAGTCTGCAGTCCAATGATATCTAGCACATTCTAACATGTAAGTGTATTCGATCTGATTGTCCAATGGCTACTGACCGTTCAGCTAGGGCTTCAAACTAGATATGTACGCCGCGTTGTACTGTCCACGATACTTCTTCACCAGCTCCTTACTGAAGCTGGGCACTACTGTGTTCCCTCCCTTCAATAATCGAGCGACTTCTGTTGGATCCTTCTTCTCATTCCACCACCTATTGAGCAAACCAGCTCGCAATCGGTCGGCGGTGGCAACAGCGAGGTCATCTCCGCTGCTCAGCCCAGTGTTGACAGCCTGCATCAGCTTTTCTTGCCCATATTTGGTCACGAGTAAGTTGACTCCATAGGTATCGTGACCTCTTTGCTTGGCGGTCAGCTCGCTGAATCTGACGTACATGGGCAGCCCATCCGCTTTGAACAGAGTATTCTCCCACTTTGTATTTACCTGAGAGGTGAATACATCATCGAGTGTTTTCTTGTCTTTCACGAAACCATTGATCATCCTCACGGCTTCCGAGCTCTTCTCCTCAGGCATCTCCTTAACGGCCGTTAGTTGCTTCGGGACCGGTTTCACCGCATTCGTCGCCACCTTCGAGTCAGCCTTCGCTATCACCTTCGGATCAAGCTTTGGTGAGGTTACCAGATCGTCAGCCTTCGCAAGCACCTTCGGGTCAACCTTC